AAAAGAAATAAATAATTATGTTAATAACAATAAGCATTAAAAAATCATAAAATCTTAAAAATATTTTTTTTAGCTTTATTAGTTAAGAAAATTAATTAAAAAACCTATTAAAATAATGTTTGAGTGTTTCTGATGTATAAAAAAAGTATAACAATTTATTAAATTGTTTAAACAATTAATTGTTCTTATTTTTTTAAATCTGCACTTAGGGCTAGAAATTTCCAGTTTTTTCACAATAATTGTGCAATTTGTCATGAGTAAAACATCTGCTAATGATAAAAAAAAATTAATTAAACATTGTCTAAACAATTAATTGTTGTTACATTTTTCATAAATTGTACTTGGGATTAGAAATTTCTATTTTTTTCTGTATTGTGCATTTTCTTGTAACTACCACATTTAAGTATCGAAGAAAAACAAAAAATTAAATATTTAAACATTGTTTAAACAATTTATTCTATTAATTTTTTAATTTACTGTACTTAAAACTATAACTTCCTTGTTTTTTCTTAATTGTGACATTTTTTATATTACTTAAACACTTAAGTATAATAGAAAAACTAAAAATTTATTATTTAACCATTGTTTAAACAATTTATTAACATTTATTTTATTATTTTTTTTTATTTAATTTTTCAGTTGATTGAATTTAAAAAAAACTAGATATTTCTAGTCCTAAGTACACTTTATGAGAAAAATAACAATTAATTGTTTAAACAATGTTTAATTAATTTATTTTTTATTTTTTATCATTACCAGATGTTTTACTCTTGACAAATTGCACAATTATTGAGAAAAAACTAGAGATTTCTAGCCTTAAGTACAGATTAAAAAAAATAACAACAATTAATTGTTTAAATAATTTAATAAATTGTCATACTTTTTTCATACATCAAAAACACTCAAACATTATTTTAATAGGTTTTTTAATTAATTTTCTTAATTAATAAAGCTAAAAAAAATATTTTTAAGATTTTATGATTTTCTAATGCTTATTGTTATTAACATAATTATTTATTTCTTTTGAACAAATGTAAAATACCAATTTTTTCTTTTTGGTAATACTTGGGCATTAAATAAGGAACAATATTCATTTTTGAAAAATAAAATAACAGATCGAGAAGTTGCATTTATTTTCATTTGTTTAAATAAATTGTTTATAATTTTATTAAATTACGTTAAGTTTTAAAATGAAAAATGTTATTCAAAAATCGTGTTATTTTTATATAATGATTCCAAAAATCATTAAATTTTACCTATTACTTTATTAAAAAAAAAACTTTTCTAAATTCATGCAAAAAAGTTTGTTTAACAATATGTACAACAAAAAAACGAATTTTGCAAAACTGTTCAACTTGTATTTTTTATTTATTATTTCAAACAGAAAAACATATATTTCATGAAAAATATTGATCAACTAAAAATTAGTTGCCCACTTCACGAATTTTGACCCATCAGTAAAAGGGGAAAAGGGGACCAACTGTGATAATTATTAAAAAATATTTTTACAAAATAACAGCATTAAAATCCATTCTATATTCTTTATGGCCTGAAATGAACTAGAAATGATTGAACTTTGGAGAAGTGTTATTCCAAATGGAATAACGTTAAAAGAAAAAATTTTTTGTTTTACATCTTCATTTTGACGATAATGACTGTTCAGGTTACAAAAATTATGCTGTAATTCACGATTAATAAAAACAATTCAAAATTTGCATTTTAAATTAATTCCAAAAAATAATTTTATATCACTTTTAACCCTTAAAGTACACAGTTCAAAAACACATTAGGGCGATTTGTACCCTGCGATACTTTGAAACCTTATATCTTTGTCTCAAATTAATGAAATTCAGTCGATTTTTTTTAATCGATAGAAAATGTTCTAAGGAATATGAAAAAAGTAGTTCTGTACATATAAAATTAATTTATTAAAAAATATTTAACAATAAACAATTACACGCGTTTAAAAATGGAATGCATTTAAAAAAACACTGGGGCGATCTGTACTCAATGTGTATTTTAAGGGTTTATAATAAACCGCATTTCACAGAGTATAAATAAATTTCTGAATGTTAGACTATTTTATTATAACGTTAATTACATTGCATAATGAAAATATTGAAAAAAAGTAATTTCTGTTCAAAGAAAAATGTATCAAAAATCATAACATAAAATTAAAAAGCCAAAAGATTTGTACTTGAAAAATTCAATACATATATTAATACTCAAAAGTTAAAATAAAAAATCATGCCCATAATATAATAGACATTATAATAAATAATATTTTTCTGCAATTTAGAATAAAATATATTGCTGAGAATTAAAAAAAATTGATTATAAAATTTTCAAATTAAATGATAATTATCGACAAGTTTCAATAATTTTCCAAATTCTGCTATACTCATAACACGAATAAATTCACAGAATGGAATTAAATTATCATCAATAAAAACTTTTATTTCAAAATCAGGAATTACTGCAACTCTTTTTCTTACAGTGTTATTCTGTTCGACTTTCTGGAATCCGAAGAATAATGTATTTCCTCTTGAAAAGGACCAGTCCGATGAAAGAAGCTTTATGAAATCGATATGTTGTTGTATAAATTCAAATGTACAAACATTTGTATTCCTAATGTTCTAGATTTTACCACTTTTCTTTCCTTTTTCTTTAACATTTACAAATTTTTTAATTAAAATAACCACTGAATAATATATTAATAATTATACACTAAACTCTAATCGTTGATAATATTTTTGCAATAACATATCTCATTAACAATATTCAAATATTTATAAACAAACTTTAAAGTAGGAAGTATAGTCATAATTATTTTCAAATTATACTATAATACTAACTTTTTCAAAAACTACCTTTTACATATATATTTCATTAAACATTAACTTTCTCTTTATTTTATTACAATATATTATATTATATATATATTATTTATAAAGACGTCAAATAGAAAAGAAAAATCGGAAAAATTATTCGAACAGAGTGGGTGCTTATAATGCATAAAACTTTTAGTAACTACGTCTTTAGACACGGCAGTCTTAAAATATTTTAAATGCTTGACACATGCCCTTTCTAAATGTTAAAAAGAACAATTCTGCACCACGCTCAAATAAACTGGAGTAAATATAACCTATCATATGAAATGAGATTTACATATAAGATTAAATTAGTTTTTAGGTTAGTTTACATTTCGCTTTGAATTTTATACATATACACTGTAAACAAAGTTTTCTGTAGATTTACAGTTTTGTTCAGAATTTTACAGAAACTTGTAAAATAACGTCTTTAAAAGCAGTGAATTTAAAATCCCTCCTGTAAAATTAATACTTTCAATGTCTCAATTTTACAATTTTCTGTAAATTTACTACTCTGAAAGTAGGTAATAAAAAGACAAAAATATTACCTACTTTCAGAGTAGTAAATTTACAGAAAATTGTAAAATTGAGACATTGAAAGTATTAATTTTACAGAAGGGATTTTAAATTCACTACTTTTAAAGACGTTATTTAACAAGTTTCTGTAAAATTCTGAACAAAACTGTAAATCTACAGAAAATTTTTTTTACAGTGTAAGTCATGGACTGTAAAAAAAAATTTCTGTAAAATATCGTCTTTAAAAGTAGGGAATCTAAGTTATCTTTGGTAAAATTAATACTTTAAATGTGTCAATTTTACAATTTTCTGTAAATTTACTACTCTGAATGAGGGACTAAATATTACCTACATTCAGTGTGGCATAATTACAACCGCGGTTGTAACTTTACAAATAATTGTAAAAAAACATAACGTGTATAGTTGTTACTTAGAATTTAGTAAAATCGCTACTCTGAAAGTAGGTAACATTCATCCTACTTTCAGAGTATTAAGTTTACAGAAAATTTTTTTACAGTGATATTTTACTTTGTGGTTTTGTTTTTCACCTTTCTATACGCTAAACTGTCAAGTTTTTGAGGTTATCTTCTCACAAAGTATAATATTAACGAAAATATAAACAAGTTAAATATTACTTCTACTATATTGGCTTCCAAATATTGAATTTTAGAATATTAATATATATTAAAACATATTTTAATAACGTATTGCTATAATTATTATCGTTTTTAATAACGCATGTGGTAACTATCCTTTACCCTACTTAGACGAACTTAGAGACAAAAAATAAATGATTGGGGTACAAAAGTTCCAAAACGGAAGTTCCAATCGAAAAATTCCAAGAAAAAAGTTCCAAAATGAAAAGATCCAAAATTTATTTTTCCAAATTACAAAAGTTCCAAAGTCCAAAATATAAATTTACCAAAGTGTGAAATTTCCAAAATAAAAAGTGTTGAATTGTTAAATAAGTGAAAAGTATTGGAGTTGTTTGAAAAAATAAGGCATCTCCAATATTTCACATTTCTTCTATCTAAATGCTTGTAATACAGAAATCCTTCGATATGTAAATAATTTTTTTCCGTCTTGTATTAATTCTACCATAATTAAAATTTACAATTAATATAATTTCACTGTTCACTATTTTATAGTTTATATAAAATTTTAAATTAAAATAAAATTTTTAATTTTACTAATTTACAATTTAATTAATATAATTTCACTGTTCACTATTTTATAGTTTAAATAAAATTTCTAATTTTACTAATTTACAATTTAATATAATTTCACTGCTTACTATTTTTAAATTTGAAAAAAAAATTTTAATTTCACAACATAATTTTGGAATGAGCACACGTTGAATGAAATTTTTGATTTGAAATTTAAAAAATAAAAAAACAATGTTTGGAAAAAACGACTATTGGAAAAATAATACTTTGGTAAAAATGGCCTTTGGAAAAATAATACTTTGGAAAAAATATCATTTGGGAAAATAATAATTTGGATCCTTCGGAATTGGAACTTCTCTTTTGGAACTTTTGACTCCATACCAAATAAATAATTGGTATTGAGAAGGAGTTTTTCTAAAGTAAATCAACAAATTTTTTTATAACTTACTTTCTTTAATTCTAGTAACACTTGAAAGTGAAAATTTTTTTTTGCTTTCCTGTGATATAATGTTTTTCCGTGTAATAGAACTTATCATAGAATATATGGCTGACATTTTCCTTTATCTTTCTTCTAAGGGGCTTTTTACAACAACTTTTTTTTGGAGACGCATGCATATGAGACGCATGCATATCCCCTAATCGCCAAGTCGTCGAATGATCAAATAGTCGAATGCCAAGTAATCGAATGGACAAAACGTCGAATGCTAAAAACATCGAATCGGCATTTAGTCGAATGCTAAAAACATCGAATTGTCAATACGTCGAATGTTCAAAACGTCGATTTATCAATTAGTCGAATATTAAAAATATCGAATCGTCAATACGACGAATGTTCAAAACGTCGGATTATCGCAATTCGTCGAATGTTAGGCCGCAGTCCCATGGCAGCGTTTTGCGTTGCGTTTTAATGAGAGAGAATGCAGCAAACGTATATTTGCGTCTTTTTCTCTCCCATTACAACGCAACGCAAAACGCTGTCATGGGAATCCACCCTTAAAGGCGAGAACAGAATGCCTATGAAAACGTGTACGTTAACGTGAACGTGGTCACGTGACCCATTTGAAGTCGGTTCTACAATGGGCACGTCGGACGTGGACGTCTGACGTACCGTGCTGACGTCACCCATTTGAATAGCATGGGTGACGTCAGCACGGCACGTCAGACGACCACGTCCGACGTGCCCATTGTAGAACCGACTTGTATAACATTGTGACGTCAGCACGTTACACGTTCACGTAGGCTATTTTGTTCTCGCCTTAAGGTTGAGTCCACAATAGCACTCTTGAACGGAACGTAAACGAAACGAAACAATGCTAAGTATATTGTTTCATTACGTTTACATCCCGTTCAAAAGTGCTATTGTGGACTCAACCTTAAGGTGAGAACAGAATAACGTGAACGTGTACGCGAACGTATGACGTCACCCATTTGAATAAAGGCGAGAACACAATCCATGGGTACGCGAGCGACGTGAACGTAAACGTATGACGTCACCCATTTAGTTAACATTGTGACGTCAGCACGTTACACGTTCACGTAGGCTATTCTGTTCTCGCCTTAAAGGCGAGAACAGAATGCCTATGAAAACGTGTACGTTAACGTGAACGTGGTCACGTGACCCATTTGAATAACATTGTGACGTCAGCACGTTACACGTTCACGTAGGCTATTCTGTTCTCGCCTTAACATTGTGACGTCATACGTTCGCGTACACGTTCACGTTCGCGTTCCCATGGATTCTGTTCTCACCTTTGGGTCGTTCCAGAATGAGCCAAAACGCAACGAAGACGCGACGCGTCTCCATTTGATTAGCATTGGGACGCGTCGCGTCTTCGTTGCGTTTTAGCTCATTCTGGAACGACCCTTTAAAACATCGAATTGTCAATACGTCGAATGTTCAAAACGTCGAATGATAAAAACGTCGAATGCTAAAAACATCGAATTCTCAATTCGTCGAATGTTTAAGGCCAACGCAGAATAGATCTGTAACCGGAACCGCAATCGTAAGCGTAACCGTAAGAATGAGTTAGAGAAGGATAGGTATATTGTTTATCCTTCTCTAACTCATTCTTACGCTTACGGTTACGATTGCGGTTCCAGTTACAGATCTATTCTGCGTTGGCTTTTAAAACGTCGAATGCTAAAAACGTCGAATGATAAAAACGTCGAGCAGGGATGGGTGCGTATAATACATGATGTATAATACGTGGCTTTATACATGTATAATACTACGTATATTACGTCCTAGGTTTTCTACATTATGTATATTACATGTGATGACGTAACTCAGTAACTGAAAGGTGGTATTTTAAAATTTCTTTGTTTTTAAATTAAAAAAATTTTTATCGTTTTGTTAATAGTAAAATAAAATGTTTATTAATTAAAATCTTTACATATTTAATTTCTTTTATTTAGAAATTTAATCATAGCCGTCACAGTAATATATGTATATGATGTATATATAAGCATACAACATAACGTATATTCACTAGTGTCATAGTAGTGCAAAACTTTTTTTATCAATTAAAATTTTGTTTTAAATTTAAATATAGGAATAATGGGAATATAAATAATAAATAACAAACATTTCAGGTTATGGTAAAGAGGGTAAATATGTCAAAATAAGTCTGCCATCATGATTATGTATTTTACCTAGTTTTATACGTATAATACGTCGAAAATGTATTATACGTATAAAACCTCGAGTGACGCGTCAAAACCCATCCCTGTCAAAACGTCGAATGATCAAAACGTCAAATGCTAAAAACATCGAATTCTCAAATCGTCGAATGCTCAAATAGTCGAAACGCCATCTGTTCGAAATGTAAAGTAGTCGAAACGCCATCTGTTCGAATTGCCAAGTAGTAGAATGGTAAAGTAGTCGAATGATAAAAACGTCGAATGCTCAGAACATCGAACTGTTAGGCTGGAGTCCCATGGCAGCGTTTTGCGTTGCGTCGTAATGGGAGAGAAAAAGACGCAAATATACGTTTGCTGCATTCTCTCTCATTACAACGCAACGCAAAACGCTGCCATGGGACTGCGGCCTTAATTCGTCGAATGCTCAAAACGTCGAATGATCAAAACGTCGAATGCTCAGAACATCGAACTGTTAGGCTGGAGGTCCCATGGCAGTGTTTTGCGTTGCGTCGTAATGGGAGAGAAAAAGACTCAAATATACGTTTGCTGCATTCTCTCTCATTACAACGCAACGCAAAACGCTGCCATGGGACTGCGGCCTTAATTCGTCGAATGCTCAAAACGTCGAATGATAAAAACGTCGAATGCTAAAAACATCGAATCGTCAAAAGTTCGAAAAAGTTCTTTGTTTTAAGTTAATGTCTACTGAAGACAAAGAACTTTTTCGAACTTTTGACGATTCGATGTTTTTAGCATCCGACGTTTTTATCATTCGACGTTTTGAGCATTCGATGAATTAACAGTTCGATGTTCTGAGCATTCGACATTTTTATCATTCGACGTTTTGAACATTCGACTACTTTACCATTCTACTACTTGGCAATTCGAACAGATGGCGTTTCGACTACTTTACCATTCTACTACTTGCCATTTCGAACAGATGGCGTTTCGATTATTTGAGCATTCGACGATTTGAGAATTCGACGTTTTTAGCATTCGACGTTTTGATCATTCGACGTTTTGAACATTCGACGAATGGAAAATTCGATGATTTAAGCATTCGATGAATTAACAATTCGATGTTTTTAGCATTCGAAGTATTGACGATTCGATTTTTTTATCATTCGACTAAATGACGATTTGAAGTTTTTAGCATTCGACGTTTTTATCATTCGACGTTTTGAGCATTCGATATTTTGAACATTCGACGTTTTTAGCATTCGACGTTTTAAACATTCGACGTTTTGAACATTCGACGAATTGAGAATTCGATGTTTTTAGCATTCGATTAACTGAAGATTCGATATTTTTAGCATTCGACTACATGACGATTCGTTGTTTTTAGCATTCGACGTTTTTATCATTCGACGTTTTGAACATTCGACGTATTGACAATTCGATGTTTTTAACATTCGACGAATTGATAATTCGACGTTTTGAACATTCGTCATATTGACGATTCGATATTTTTAACATTCGACGAATTGATAATTCGACGTTTTGAACATTCGACGTATTGACAATTCGATGTTTTAAGCATTCGACTAAATGCCGATTCGATGTTTTTAGCATTCGACGTTTTGTCAATTCGATTACTTGGCATTCGACTATTTGATCATTCGACGACTTGGCGATTAGGGGATATTCATGCGTCTCATGGCAGCGTTTTGCGTTGCGTCGTAATGGGAAAGAAAAAGACGCAAATATACGTTTGCTGCATTCTCTCTCATTACAACGCAACGCAAAACGCTGCCATGGGACTGCGGCCTTAATTCGTCGAATGCTCAAAACGTCGAATAATAAAAACGTCGAATCGTCAAAAGTTCGAAATCCAATTCGCATTTTCTATAATCATAAGCAATTATAAAATTTTTTCACGCAAACTTTCAACTGATAAAATAGTTGTATAAGCCAAAGTTTCTTTTTTATAATTTTATAAAAACCTGCTAATTTTAAAGTGTTATAATTTTTAATTTGTATAAATTGTAATTTAACAAATGTCTGTCAAATCTAAATGTAGTAAAATATAATTGATTTAAATAAAATATCTTTTTTAAAGAATGCTAAAAACATCGAATCGGCAAATGGTCGAATCGTCAAAACGTCTAATCGTCATTTCGTCCAATGCTAAAAACATCGAATCGTCAAATGGTCGAATGCTTAAAACATCGAATCGTCAATTGATTTAATTGTTTAATAACTTTGTTAATAATTATCGAATTTGTTCATAACTTACCAGGAAAGTTCTCCTTGCGTAGCTGAATAAATCCCAAAAAAAATTAACTAGATCGGAGAAATAGTTTTCAGATAAGAATTGTTTACAGTCCAGGACACCTTAAAGATGAAAAATCAAGAGATTTTAAATTTTTTCCACACCACCATTTTTTAAAATACGGATTACTTTTGCAAATGACCGCCAAAATGGGCCCTTTTCATTTTTCTAAAGAACCAATGAAATCAAACAGTTAAATTATCGATAAATTAATGAAAACCGCATAATTCGACTTGTTAAAACATGTAGATTGATAATAAAAAATTTTTAAAAATTAAGATTTTGCTCCAAAATTACTAAATTGCGATTATCTCGAAAACTAGAACCGACAATATAGGCCCTTTTCATGTGGAATAAATATACTATAAATATATATATATATATATATATAGTGATGAAAAAATATACATATTTAATAATATATATATAAATATATAAATAAATATATATTAAATATATAATATATAATATATAATATATAATTAAATATTAAATATATATATATATATATATATATATATATATATATATATATATATATATATATATATATATATATATATATATATATATATATATATATATATATATATATATATATATATTGATTACAATTAAGAATTAGTCTTGTATCAAACTCTTACTTGTCAAAAGAAAAAAATAAACTGTGATTTAAAAACATTTAATATTGTTTACTATGTTTCAATACGATTTTATTGATTATTTTTAGAAAAGAGATTTTAATATTCAAAA